TTGGAATGCATTATTTCAACTCCCAACAATAAAATTCTATAGATTTGATTTTTATTGTTTTAAAAAATATTTTCATTAGTTTGTAATTAAATTAAGTGTAAAGTTACAAATTAGTTCTTCAGAATTTCTGAGTTTGTTCTGGACAGGCTCCACTTCTTTTTACAGAAAAATCCAGTGCATCTTACCTAATGAGTGTACTTATACTGTGAAGTCTGTAATTCTACTTCAATTTTGTGAAAATTACTGGAGATATTTAGTGGTCTCTCTTGTTTCCCTGCCCTTGGAAGTTAAAAGATTACCAAACATCATTAGTCGAATATTATATATCATGCATCTTGGTGATCATACCATATCCTTCTATCTTTCCTCTCATTGCCCTGAAAAGAAATAAGACGAAAACCATTTGTTTGGTTAGGTAGGAGTTGTAATTAATAGCCTTTTTTTTATATTTAAATAGTTTATTGTTGTTAATTATGTCTATATATTAACACGGACTATAATGTGCAAACCCTTTAGGCTAAAAGCATGAATCAGGCCCAAGTCACCCTCTAGTTTTACTACCATTTTCAATACTGGATTGTAGTCAGTTATCTAAAAAACTAAGCTGATAGGAAAGAGTTTAATATATTATTAAAGTATTTACTCTAATTACACGTTCTTTTTGAATTGCAGTAAATGAAGCAATGGGCCGAAGGGCACTTCATAAAGCCTTGTATGAATCTGCAGCTCTTATTGGTGCTAGCATTCTTCAAGTTTACCTTCTACGTCGTTTGTTCGAACGGAAGATTGGGATGTCAAGAGTTTAGCTTTAGATCTTACATGTACTGTTTACTTGTGGGAAAATGTGGCTAGCTATTGTCTGTGGCATTGGCATTTTAAGTCGATCGAAGGAAAACCATAAACAGAAACCATGATTTTGTAGACTCTGACTCTTAAGAATTATATATTATCATGGTTTCTTTTCTTTTTGGTATTAAGCTGGTTTCTAGTGCTTTCAATACATACAGATTCATATGTTTGTTCCTTTCAATATATATAGAATTTTAGCCCTGTTGAACTCGGCGTTTTATCGCTATTGAAAGACATTTCCCTTAGTCTTTTCTAGTTAGATGTCAAGTGTGTAAGTGAAATGTTAGACGACAGAAATTATTATATTTAACCAGAGGATAGTTTAGTCTTGTTCTATTGGGTTTAGGCATCTCTTTGAAAAGAATGGATATGGTTTTTTTTGTCAACCGAACATGTATAACTAAGAATTGTTACTTCTCAAGTCCGGGAATGAAGAATGTAATCTCCACCTTCAACTTGCTCTGTTGTCATTTTTATGCAGGCATAAATAGTTAAAAGGTTGTATTATTTTGATTAGTGAAGAATAGGCAATCTCAGAATCAGCTATCTCGCAATGTTTTGAGATCGGTTCGCCTCTAGCTTATACATTGTGGAAATAATAAGTTCTATTACAGTATAATACCGAAGTTAAAAGTTTAATATTTAATTTTTTTAGTTGCGGCACTTTAGTATAAATAATAGATTTCTCATCCTTTCTTATCAGCATATGGCACAAAGGTAGGGCAACTAATAATCACAGATATTCAAGTGATCTCTTACAGAGAATTCTGTTTTCCAGAGAGGAAAAAGAAAGTGTACTGCACAAAGAAACCCAATTCACTGATACAATCAGAAGAAAGAATATGTCACAAATAAGCTCTACAACATATAGTATTTGATATAGCAAGGAAAGCAAGAAAATAGCTTGGCATCTAACAAGAACCAACCAAATAAGAACATATAGCTACAGTAATTTATCTTTTTTTGCTTTTCTACCCCACCACAACTCAATTTTACATCACCCAGAAAAGGAAAAGAAAAAAAAAAAGAAAGAAAGAAGATAGTCTAGCAGGACCCTTCATAGCTCTGTAGCTCCCAAACTTCTAGAGATATTTGGTGGGGACTTTTGCATACGAACATTTTCTCCCGTGGAAGCTCACAAGACAGGCAGGAGCTCGTCAAGATTCTGCAGACGGGGCTTGAATGCAGCAAAGCCATTTTCTCTGAAAATTAGAAACCACGAAATTTCTAAACATAACTGCAATAGTTCACTCCCATCAAAAGATGGAATACGAAGATGCAAGTGAAGATCACCGTGAACTGATAAGAAAAGAACTGAGAATACAATTGAATAATAAAAAAACCAACTTACTCCAGGCTGTGCTTTGCCAGGATCTGCTCCAGGCTTAGCCTGAGGATCAGCAGTTTTTGCTGGTGATTCAGGTTTTCCCCCTGTTTTCTTCTCATCTCTAGCCTTGTTAAAGATCACAGTAAATCCTTCAGCTGAAGCTGGATCATTGACATCCCATTCGCCAAATTTTGGCAACGGGCGACCCTTTTCCTGCCGGCAAGAAGAAAAGGTTAAAAGGTTGCGTACAGAGGGCAGCCAAGGCTTCAAAGCTGTATTAACTAATACTTGAAAACTGAGGAAGAGGGGCACTATATATTTGACTGCAGTAAATAACTATCTAGATCTACCCAGGTAATTGATAATATAGGACATTCTCCATCTAATTATGAGGTTTTAGAATACAAGAAACAAAACAAGGTCATCAAGTAGAAAGCACAGAGCCCTGTGCTAGGAGCAAAGAAATTGAGACTCATATGCTTCTTAATTAAAACAAGGTCTGTTATGTGTCTAAAACACATTGGATAATTGCAGGATATGCCAATGACAAAATACCAATTCTAACATTTCTTTTCCTGTCAAGTTTCTAAAATAAGCTAAATGAAGTCACTGTATGCATCACACAGAGCCCTTTTTACCAGTAGAAAAAAATTTGCAAAGGACAAGGACTACTTCCAAATAGGTAATCATGATTGTGGACAATTATCATTCTAATAGATTTCCATGCAAGCATACACAAATTTGTCAACTCATTTTTCTAAGCATAGGAATCCATAAAAAATATAAAGTGTAGTACATTATTGGCATTTCATACACATTATCTCAGCTTGGAGTCCAACAACCAAAAGTAGCATATTATCCAATTTACTATTATCCATCTTCTTGCTTACCTACCTACTACCATGATTGCAACATCTCTTCTAATCTGCCAATTATCTATCAGAGAAGCCTTCACTTATCAATTTGGGTCAACTTTATCTAAAATCTACACCTTAACCTAGGCATGGGATAAGCAATAAGAGATCATTTCACTTCAAATCCTCTTTCAGAACCAAAATATGTTGAAATCAGACTCAGAATAGGTTGAAGGAAAACCACTGGCTGGTTGCTCATTAATCATTATCCTGTTCAATATACTAAATTGAAGCATTGAACTTTAACCGTAAAATTCCCAGAGATAGATAAGAATATGCCCTTTATAGATTCTCAATTTTCCCCAACTATGAACCTTGAAATCATATATCTTGCTTTCAATAACTTAAACTTGTTTCCAACTTTCTACCGACTTCTTGCTTATAAACTACTTCACACCATCGATGTGGATGTGTTTCCAGGAACTCAGGAAATTTCTTGTTTCCTAGCGGACCAGTTCCCAGCAAGATTACATCGAAAGGAGGGCGCCGGGGTGAATGAGCCACTTTCTGTCAGACCATTTTCAAAAATCTGAAATTGCCGATTATGGACAGACATATTCAAACTTGAATCTCCATAAGATTTAAATGCGATGTAGTTCATCAATCACAGACAAATAATGCACAAAACCCGCTTCAATTAACAAAGCTACCAAAAAAAAGGAAAATAAGAAAATTTCACTTGCTATAAAACTTTAAGAATTGATCAAAGATATTTCATCCTCAAATTTGAAATTCATAATAAATCCACGAGAATAACAATCATCGAATCGACAAAAAGAACATGCACCAAAAGAAAATTCGAAGAGACATAATCAAATCAACAATTCGATCAGAATCGAACAAGAGAAGCACAAAGAATCATCACATACTAACATCTAAAGGCACAAATTGAGAAATTACATACCGACATGAATTCTGGAGAGAGATGAGTATCAAAGAGAGAGAAAGACGGAGAGAGTTTTAGAGAGAATCAATGGAGGAGAGGTTAGAGAGAGAGCGAAATTTGGGCCAAGATATGGGCCTGTGTCGGAATATGAAGGGAGCGAAGTTTTTGGTGCAGTGCCTGAAACAGTTTGTTAACGACGTTAATATGACGGTGACGGCGTAATTACGTGTCTCTTTAGTCCCTTATGTCATTTTAACGAAAAACCGAGTAAAATAAAATAATTGTTGAGTAAATTAAAATTTTATTTTTCGAGATTTAATTCTATCGTAATTAAAATTATAATAGTCTTATAATTGACGATCATATAGTCTTATGATTCAATTTTATATTATTTAATTCTTATTATGTCATAATAAAATTATGATTTTAAATTTTTATTTAATTTTTTAATTAATTTTAATATTTTATGTATTTGTATTTAGAATTAGTGTAGTTTAAAAAAAATAATTTTATCACTTTTTCATACCCATTATTGCGTCAAATGCAATAATACAAAAGTTATAATTAAATTATTTTAATAATTTATAGTTTAAACCGACTTATATTCGTTTAAATTGAAAGCAATAATAATTATGATGACGTGCAATTGCGTAAAGAATAGAGACGTGAGAAAGTTAACGGGACGGAATGGGGAAGTGGCAAACGGCGTGATCGGCGAGGAGATGTTGGGTTAGACGGAGGCAAAGGGTGCAAATGACTTGCTGGCACTGTTTTAAAAGCTGAGATTTACGATGAATTTAATGCCTTATTTATTATTATTATTAACAAAGTTGATTTTAATGAATGAATATTTTAATAAACATTTTTAAAATATTAATTTGGTATTAAGTACATATTTTTTTTTTCTAATTAGTATATTAAGAATAAAAATTTCAAGTATAAAATAGTAGATATATGTATGGAAGTACAAAATTATGTATAAATGGTTCCTTTTAAATAATTTTTAAAGAATATTTTTTTAGAACATTCAAAAATCAATATTAAAAAATATGAAATTTTTTTTTTTTTGGGTGATAAGGGTATTTCTCTTCTAAATTTTAAAGTTTTTCTAAATTATTTTGAAAATTCTTTCTTTCATATTAATATTGAGGCATTTATTATTTGAATTATTAAAAAAAAATTGAATTCAAATAATCAAGTATACTTTTTTATTAATTAATTATAACATAAAGATTAAAATTTGTTCTTGTTATTATTTTAGTACCATAATTTGGAGTCATTTAACTTTTTTTGTTCTTATTTGGTTTCAAAAATAATGACGAAATTAAATATTTTCTACTAACTCGAGATTTAATTATAACAACAACAATATAATAAACTTATAATTATGGAACTAAAATAGCAAACAACATAAAAATTGAAAGGAACTAAGTAGGCCACATTGTTAAGTTATAGAAAAAAAGGGACTAAATATTTGGTAAAAAAATCCAACATTTTTGGATATTAGTAGAAAAGGACAATCATTCTTTTTAGTTTCAAGATGTCACAAGTAATATGGCCTTGTCATATATATATATACATATATATATATATATGTATGTATGTATGTTACTTATTTTTTTGGGGAGTCAGCATTCATGTCTAAAATAAACAAAAGGGAAATTGTTTTTACACAAATTTACATGTTAATTTCACACATGGAAATCAAAATTTTGTATTGAATAGTGTTAAAAGATCTGTTTCCCACTCTTAAGTACATACATATATATATATATATATATATTAAGAGTTAACCAGAAACAAGAAAATAATTTGTGGGTGTGTTTAGAAATGAGTAATTTTAGTTTCAAAGTTGAGAGCAGCATCAAGTCTTAAAATTAAGATTCTTTTTTCTCTTCTTTTTTGTCCTTTCAAATTCCTTTTTTGTGAGGAGATAAAACAAGAAGATGAGACTAGACACCATGACATGTATTATGGCATGTGATTTGGATTTTGGCCGACACAAAAGTAGATAGCAGCCGACCAAGTGATTGTGATCTAAGACCACCCTTTGTTGGCTTCTTTCACCTCTCTGCAAATTTTTACAGTTTCAAGAATCTGGGAAAAGAAAAAGTTAAAAATGCAAAATCTAACCGTGAAAAATAGACAAATGGGATGCCCCAAAATCTAATTCATAGTTTGGACAAAGTTTTTTAATTAAAAAAAACTCAATAAAAGATTTAAGTTCCTGTAGCATCTGGTTATAAACTCAATAAAAGATTTAATGAACAGAATGATTTGAAGACAAACATAATATATAATGTTTCCTGTGTATCCTGGGAATCCTAAAAAGACAATCCATAAGCAGAGTGAAATATAGATCGAGATGAGAACAGAACTGTGATAAAAGCTTTAAATATAATCATAAATTATTTAAAAAAGTTTAAGTACACCAAGTTTATTCCCATTAATTGCTAGATTCTGTCTGCCACACCAACAGCAAGACATTGTGCTTAGTAAACAACAAACTAAATAGAAAAGGTTACCAAATCAAGGAAACTCTAATGCTTGTGCTCCATTGGAAAGCAAGCCTGGGACTTTGCAAGTAATAATCATCGGGTTCCCAACTTTATTTCTTCAACAAGAAGCTTGCTTTGCAGCGCAACGGTAGCCCAGGTGGTAAATCGCTCCATTCTTTTCACAGGGAATCATGGGTTCAAACCGTGTACAATTAGAGTCTACCCGCTGTTGGGAGGGAATTTAAGGCAGCAGTCACAGGCTCACTATAAAGATAAAAACGATAACTCAAACCCAACATTTAATAGAAAACGAGAATTCCCGATCATGCCCAAAGAAGGTGTCTATATTGGGTAACACTTCCCACCATTTTCTTTTAGTAAAAAGAACAAGAACTTGTTTCGATGCTATTCATGAGAAATCTCTTTTTCCCGAAATGTTTTGACAAAGAAGAGATGGATGTCATTAGAAGAACGATTAGGTTTGAACAAGTACATTGGTTTTGATATTAGCTTCACTTACAGAATGATTTAAGGATAAGGCAAAAACAGATCATCAATCCTCGCCTTGAATGGCAAAGCACATGACAGCACTAGTCAATAAGTCCAGAGTACTTCATCTCATAGTTTGCGACAACATGCCATCACCTTCGAAACTTGTTGCTAACACAAACAGTAAGGAACAGCCCTAAACCAGCATATTTTATCTGGTGGGAATAAGACAAATAATGGTGCAGGTCCAGATGGGATACCTCATTTTTGCTTCACCTAATATTCCAAGCAAGGATCTTATTTTTAAAGCTTATCATATCATCTACGAGTAAGCCAACTCATGGAACATCTGAATACCGCGTGAGGCCGCCGCTGGCATGCTCTATAAAATGTGAACTCTTTTCCTTCCCCTTCACTGCACTCTGCACCCTATGATTTGGCAGAGAATAATCAATCAACAGTCTTATGGAGTCTGAAGGCTGAGTTTAGAATTAATTAGACATAGAGGGAGAGGATATCAGATAATTGACAGATTTTCAGAATGGTTGCAATAATGGCCGACTGGTGGCCACCAGAAGATTTCATGGGCCCATGTTTAATGGTTAGTGGCATATCAGCTAGTTGATTCCAAAGATAATATTTGTAAGTTACCTCTTCCCAAGTCCTGTAAGCACATGTAACTAACAAAGTGACATTGTCATCCTTTATCCACCAGGAAGACCTGTTAGAAGGGCAGAATATCAGAATCACAAATGAACTGAACTTTTAACTCAGTCCCTTATTTATCAATGAACAAGATAAGAAAGGAGTGTTTTCATATATATACATATATATACACGTATATTTATATTTATATAGCCAAATTTGAAAAAGGAGAAAGGGGATTTACCTAGCACGCATAGGCACCTACTTTCTGTACCTCTTTGCCAACAGAATGACAATGGAACCAGCGAGTCATATTTCCCATGATATAGAAGCAAAGCAAACTGCAATTTCACCGGACAAAGAAGAGGTAAGAGTACTTTTAAATGGTTTGAAAAAGCAGCAGAATTTGAGCCCCGGAAGAGCATTGCACAGACCAGATCATGGACATCCAAGAAAAATGTCAACACAAAGGAGCTTGCTTCACCCACATATGGGATTATGCTTCCAGAATACTGGTGATATTTTGTGTATCCACACCTCTTTCATGTGTTAACGTTATCTCTTCTTTTTTCGCTGCAAGGACTTCAATCTTTCAACTGCGGTTATCAGACACTCATCCAAATGTTGGCAGCATCCCTCCCAGTTCATAGATAACAATCCTCTCTCATGTAAATCCTTCAAAAGAGTGTCAGCTTCGACATCACAATTTCCCTGGAAAAGAATGGCATTAACCAGAACAGTATATGTTGTTATGTTGGCCCAAAGACCGCTTTGCTTCATCTCTTTATAGAGTTCAAAAGCAGCTGCCAGATCACCATTAGCACAAAGGCCTGAAATTAGAACATTGTAGGCAACAATATCAAGTTTCAGATCACAAAGCCTCATCACATTCCTTAACTTCAGAGCCTCCACAAGATTAGCTTCCTTGCAAAACATGTGCATTAGAGTTGTAAATGAAGCAATAGTTGGAATAAGCTGACCCTGAAGCATGCTCTGAAGAACCAGCATTGCTTCTTCAACCTTCCCACATTTGGCAAGACCTCTTACAATAGCACTCTCAGCAACATCCCGGGAACTTATTCCAAATGCCACCATCTCATCTTTTAGCCTGAATGCACTTTGCATATCTCCCATTCTGCAAAGAGCATTTATCAAAGTGATATACTTGGTGCACTGGGGAAGGAAACCTCTCTTTGACATTTCATGCAAAAGAATACGAGATTCTTGAAATGCGTGGGTTTTGTTGAGTCCAGAAACGATGGCAGTATAGGTATTTATATTGACAGGCACTCCCAGTACATTCATGATACTAACCAAGTCAGAGGCCTTCCGCATCTCACCTCTTAGACAACACTCACTGACAAGCACATTGAATGTAAAGCAATCAACCTCAGTACCTTCACATACAAATTTCCTCAAGATCTTAACACCAACTTCCAACATACCAGATCTGCAAAGTCCAAGAATGAGAGAATGGCATGTCAACTTATCAGGCAAAATACCACTCTTCATCATGGTTTTGTACAAACGAAAGAATTGCAACATATCTTTCTTCTTGGAATATCCATGCAAGAGAATATTGTATGTAGCCAAACCAGGGGACAGATTTTGACGACTCATTCTAGAGAAGAGATTGGTTGCCTCCACCATTTTTCCCATCCTTGAATATCCATCTAGAAGTACATTATAGATAACCAAGTCAGGGAAAATACCTTCATTTTCCATCTGCTCATAAATACACAAAGCAGCCTTCCATTGGCCAGCCTTGAAGAAACCATTAACCAAAGAGCTGTAAATTACCTGATCTAGAGACAAATTTCTGTTTGTCATTACATTATCATAAAATAGGACAGCAGCAACCACTTTGCGCTTTCTACATAACCCAGTAAACAGACTAGCATATGTGTAATGATCAGGTAGCACATCACACTCCACCATCTCATTAAAGAGGGAAACAGCCTCCTGCAGCTTCCCTAATTTGCAAGTCCCGGAAATTATTGTATTGTAGGCCACAGTATCCACAGCTGAAGGAATATTACGGATTTTATTCAAAAATTTGTTTGCCTCCCTCAAATTTCCACCTTTGCACAGTCCTTTCAGTAAGCTACCATATGTTAGAAAACTCGGGTGATTTCCAAGCTCGATCATTTTATCAAACATAGAAAATGCTTTTAACGCATTACCCAAACTTCCGTACCCATTTATAATACAATCAAAAGTAATAGAATTAGGGACAAGACCTGTCCTGCTCATGTGATGCATGAAATCCTCGG